TTAATAAAACCGCGACAATAATGCTTAGTGAAAAATCTGTTCCTCATTCCTACCCTCAAAAAATCCTACTCCACCGGAATCACATCAGCGGCAAATTTGCTTGCTGTACACCGTCACCGCGTCCTCCCTGAGAATGCTCTTCCACCAATAATAAATTTGAGGAGTCACCGAAATTGCATTGCGAAATTAATTGACTGGAAAATCGGGTCGTTTACTCCACTTCCGAACCATTATTCTTCTTGCACAATTGCTTACAGGTGCACACGCACTGTGTTCACCTGCATCTAAATTGGGTTTTATCAACTTCCATCTTCCACAACCTGTGATTGTTAAAGTCTAATGAAAGGGGACCCAAATGCTCTGCCAGAAACCGATAGGCAGAATAAAATATTATGCACACCCAGCCAGCCGAAGGTGGTGCTTCTCGCACAGGGAATGCAAATTTGCACAAAAAATCGACTACGTCTAAAGCACTATGACGACAGGACACATGGAGATTGGTCACTCATTCAGTGTGTAAAATCCAACGGTGTAGCACTTAGCCGGACAACTTGAAGTGCTTCGTTGAACCCGCTCTAGTGATTACTGTAGCTGTACGAATAGGCGGATTTGAACTTCAGCACAATTCCACAAAAATAATGATACGTTTATTCCCTCTTCTTTCTCAATGGAACGATGGGAAGTGCTTAACAACTGAACCTGACAACGAAGTTGATTTACTTCGTCCTGACCAAAGCAATGGAATTACTTTAGCCACAGAAATGCAAAATAACACGTGGCTTCTGTGTCAGCTCCCTTTTGACCGTTGAAAATGTTGGTGTCATGCAAAATTTGCACTTATTTATTCTCCCAATATGAATCTGCCCATTGCAGAGGCATTACTTCTAATGGGATAACCACGTGGACAGACAAGATGGAAGGTAAGTTCCCATGCCGTAAAAAAGCCAGCAAGTGGTCACTTCGTCTACACACACAACCAAAAGAGCGTTGCGTTAACGTTGTCATTTCTCCCGAAAAAGTCCTCTGTGAAACGGATGATTACCAAGTCTGCTTCTTCAAACGCGTTTGCTAACGTGCAATTACAACGAAGTTTCCAAATACATTGGGATTGCATGAGACAGAAGAAAAGTGAAAGGGATTAACAAGGATGTTCCACTCTTGGAGAATGAGAAATAAGCACATTTCCACATCTTCCACTTTTGGTGTCACCTGCCAAAGTCGGTTTAATGGCTGTAACCTAAGTTGACCTAGCTGTCACACGGCATTTGTAATGCTATTCCATGTATACCGTGTCCCGTGGTCTGCATCCCCTTTCATGATAATTCCCATCACTTCACTTTTCTGAAACTCCAGTCTTTTTCCCCTTCAACTGCCAATGATATTCTGAGGTTCACACTTGGCTTAGCTGATCTTCGCAAGCATCTACCTCTTAGTTTTCCACGCAACACAATCGAGCGCTCCGCTTCTAGAACAATGCAATTCCACTTGCGGTATTTTCAACAAAAATACCCTCACCACAAGGCTTAGTTTGCTTTTCAGGAAAGTAATTTTTTCACTACTGCAATCACTCGAAGAGGGTGAGAGAAAGGACGAGTCATTGGTTGTGCGTGAGTTGGTATATTGCAAAGAACGGCAAGGAGAGGTGAGTGAAAGCATACGTGAGAAGACTATGAGGTGAATGAATTAACGGCAGGATAAATTTGTGGATGAATGCTCAAACGGGTTGGCAGACCTTAGTACGTGAATAAACAGGTGGGTGGATGAGGAGGTAGATGACCAAGTAAATAGTTGACACATTCCGTTTTCCTTTGGCCAGATGATTTCGTCGCCTACTATCCACACTTCAACCACCAAGGTTGGTTCATTCTGATGAATGCGTCGGGAAGACCAAACACATAAGCAAAGTGACTTCATCTCCCTCCACGAGACAGTGCCCCCTGGCTTGTGATATTTGCAACAGAGTTGTGCGCCATCAAGCTTTCATCGTAATCAAAACATTTTTGGATGTAATTGGATTGTTGGATAGCTGAAGTGGATAGTTGGATGGATTAGCAGTAGTTCGTGATTGAGCAACTGTAAACCATCAGATGACTTAAAAGTAGGCGCGATTTCCGATATAGCTTGTTGTCGTGACCTGTTGCAGCTTGACTTATAAAGCCCTGTAAAACGCATGCGAGTGTCTACGTCAACACATCATACAGCACAGGTAAGCACGTCAGTCCATCGGTACGTACCTTGCATTGTACTCTCCACCACTTTTGAGCTATGGTGATCTCCTCTATCAGGTGATGTAAATAAACTTCGGGAATGTGATTCGACCTTGCCCGCCACTAAAATTGTGGATACTTATGCTGCACAAAAATTGTCTAAACAATCGGATTCTGATGAAGGACCACTCAATGGCAGTTTATGCAACAGACTCTTGACAAAATGAGGGATTGCGTATCACAGTTGCTTAAAAGAGGCAGAAATTGATGCCTTGGGAACAGCTTTGCTAAAACTAATTTTTAAGATAAGTGGCAAAGTGATGTGTTTGTACTTTTGCCACAACTGGCGAAAGGAAATAGTAGAATTACATGCGTGCTACTCACATGCCAAGCATTAGGGGATGGCACTGCACTTCCAGAACCATCCACTTCCTTTCCACTGCCTTCTCGTTAATTCACTGTCCACATACTTTGAGGCACACATCACATCAGCTACACAAGACAATTCTTGTTTTGTGTGAGTGTGTGTAGTGGATTCTAAATGGTAATATTCACCTACCGATGGAGTCAGAGCTGCCACTGAGGTCCTGCCACAACTCGAAGTTGTGTGAGATGAAAGTTGCCAAGGAAGAGCAAGAACAGCAAAAGTGGCTCATGAGTGGATTTGCAGCTAACTTACATCTCCAGGGAAAATGAATTACTAATTCTCTTGGCAGTTATTCTATTTTTATTCTGGTAGACTAAGCTACTTTCCATCGAAGTCCTCTGCTTACCATTCTTCTCCTTCCCTCTACTTCTTCTCTTGGTATCAGTTCTAGGGATTGATTTAAAGAAGGCGTGTTTTCGTGCCACTCAGGGGTGATCGAGTTTGGACTCCCTCGGGTCCAATTCATCCGACCTTGTAGCATTTGCCATAGAAACCCACTTTTACAATCTTCTTAAGCTTTTATTAGGTTTAATTTGATGAGAGATGTAGATCAAGACGATGATGTAGATCAAGAGATGTGTTGATGAGTAAGCATACCGATGATTGGGTGAAACGACGAATGTTGGATAAACAGTTACAACACTTTGCCTCCATTTTGTCACACTAGTCATGACAACTGCCAGAGTATGGCGAGTCGGCATACGTGGCCTAAACAATCTCTGAAATAGCGATCGCCAAATTCAACGCGCAGTGAACAAATGATCCTGAAGTGACGCCATCCCACACACTCTCGGCCCCCTTTCATCTCCAAAGAAAGTATGCTTCCTCATAAGTTCAATGCTTTACACATGTTTCCTCTAGTCTGCAGCGTAGAATGGCGGGAATATAGTCTAACACAAAAGCGACCGAAATATCCTCATCATGACTTAATGAGGCGTAGAACTTGCATTCATTTCACTAAAATGCCTGCACATCAATGCTTGACTAGTGAAACAAATGCACACTACAGTCTACTTCCCTCTAATTTCCCATCGTGAACATGACACACTTTAGTCTCACGCCGAGCGGTCCAAACAGAGGTAGATTTATCCACCAGGCCTCACTGTATTAACCGAATACATAACCCATGGAGGAGGATTCAAGGTGAACCGTGTAGCGCCGAATGAAAGTCCATTCAACGTGTAAGTCGTTCCTGACAAAAGTGCTTCCAGTTAAACGAACACTGATGAAGAGAAAAAGAAGAATGCTCTCACTTTGTGGTGGAAAGTTACTTTTAGAACTGTACATTTGACAACGCCGACTCTTTACCAGCAAATGAGATGAAGTCCACAAGGCAGACGTTGCCAAACCATCTTCCCCTCTTCTTTGCCCTACTAGGCCTCAGCCTCGCCTGATCAAAGGAAATGGAAAGCATGTAGGAACAGTGCCCAAAACCAATGACAAAATGAAACAGCAGAAATGAAGGAGAATATCCCGAAAAGGAGGATTGTTATTTGCTCCTCTTAAACTCGCAGCATACTGGGTCTTCAGACCACGCTCATCAATCACTATCTTCAGCTCACTACTGCAGGCAGTTCTACAACAGCAAATCCAACTCAACCGTCTATGGACCTGCAGATATCCAAACTACCAAAAAGTTCCGCATAGCTGCCACACGAACAGTCCAGCAATTGACATTTCCTTTTCTCCAAAAACAAAGACCAAAGCCTAAATGGACGTTATTGCATGTAGAGTCACACTTCAACTCCCAAGCTGTACCCACCATTTGGTGTTTACGTTGCGCCATTCAGGAACAACGCGAGACATTTTACGATGTCAGAGAGGACTCCACACAATGGCCTCCTACAAATTCTCTCTCCGGAAGTGCATAAACTGGCATCATGATAGTGAAACTCAGAGCATCAATAGCAGTTGCAAGGGATGTAAGCGCTGTACAAAAGGTGTCCAAACAAGTATTCCAACAAACTGAGTAACCGCACCTTTTTGTCACGTACAGCCAAAGGATATATTTAATATAGGAATTCTCATTAACTTTGTCTTTCCTCTACTTTTCACGATTCCTAAAAAACGGCAAGGAATGATTTAGGGGAACGCTTGAAATCCAATGTGAGTACCACTGGGATGATTTAGATTGTGTAACACAATCAAATGGATTTTCTCCCACTTGAAAGTCAACGTCAGCCAAAACCAGAGGGAGGAAGACCACACACAGACCCAATCTGCTCCTCGGTCTAACTCACAGCAGCCTTAAGCTCAGTCGAGTGTGGATCAGAGGAGCAACATCTACCTGCATTCTCGCCGCATTACCATTCGAACCCGCATGATTCGCATCGACACCAAACTCCCTCCCACCTTCGTGGCATCAGATTGCGTAGTAGAACCCACATCGCTTTGAGTAACTTTAGCATAAATCTACCGAATAGGCACATCATTCGTACGAGCCTCCACACTTCGAACATCCGATGAAGGACGGTATTCTGAAAGCAGCACAACCAGATATGCTCTGCAGCTCAATTTGAATTACACCAATATGCGGACAGGCCAAAACACCTTTCCTGGGAGAGGTACGATAGGAAGAATCAAAGAGGATGGAAAAAATGAAAAACCAATGATGGCAATACACCGAAGCCTTATTCGAAAGTTAAGTTTGTGGCGAGATATTCCCATAAAACGTGGTTGGTATTCCATTATTTCCCATTTTCAAACGAACCACGAAACGGCGCAGCAGGGCTGAAGCATCAAGTGACTCCACTCAGTCTGTTTGGTCTCCTGCGGCATAAAACAGTGCTGGCCAAATGCCACAGGGCATCCATTTAAAGACCGAAGTCTCATAGCAATAATGGCGAAAATACTTTTACATTAATTCACCTCCCTTTTCAATCAGGGTAAGTCATTGGCTGACTGTAACCGCCAATGCTCACCAAAGTGGAGACAAACTAGTAATTGGCTTCAAGTCTAGACGGCATTACCTACAGAGTAGTCGCGACTGTGTGGAATTGATGAATGAATGAGTAACTACAGGGACGCAAGCTGGGCAACACTACTGGGATCGCCGGCTTTCAATGATAAATAGTTGCAGAGTATTTGCATTTCATTTAAAGTTGACCACACTTTCACAGTGGAAAGGGTACGTGATTTTGTGAAAAGAATAATCCGAAGCACGGCCATCCTGCACCATTGTCTTACTCTAACTTTCTCGCCATTTAAAAGCAATCGTGTATCGCCTACCACTAAACCGAACCGAAAGGATCATCGTGATCGAAAATGTGCTTGGTATAATGGATACAAGATAACACTGTGTTGTTTAATTCTGTAGGGAGTTTCGATATCAGTAATTCTAGGTTGAGTTTAAAACCAGCAAATTGCCACAAAATAATTACCGTCAGTTGGAAGCGATTTTAGGGGGTGGTAGTCTTGCATCAAATAAAGAAGCAAATGAAATGCGAGAAAGTAAAAGACACTAAATATCCGAAATGGGCTGGAAGAGGTGTGCAGAGGACCTGCAACGTCACTGCACTATTACCGCTGTTAAGTGAAGGAATAGCAGTGCGCCAAGAATTACACTGCTTTCACCGGTTAAGCTCGTTTGTTTTTGAATTCGTCGGTAAGGCTGCATGCTGCACTAGAAGGAGAAGTTTTACGTCTTGAGCTAAACAAGTGGTTTGACTGAAAGTGTGCACTTCGAAATTCACGCCAAAATAAGACGTGTAAGGTGGAGGGACTAGGACCGACTTTAGCCTGCCAACTTAACGATTCGGATAAATTTGTGTTTACTGCTAAGCCTCAGACACAACGGCAAGGCATTTTTGTGAGCTGTGCTTGAAACAGACGAATTCCCCTTCTGTGTCTGTAACATAAACACAGTCGGTAAAGCAAAGCTTCGATTCGGCAAAAATTACCCTAACATCTTTACTTGCTGTAAATTACTTGCCAGACTTGGCATTTAGAACTAACGTTCACCCTCATGGACAGTTGAAAGGTGGACAAAGGAATGGCAGACCCATCGTTTATAATGCGAATGGATGGATGAATGGATATCCAATAAAGAGATTGAGCGATAGACTGAATGACAGACAGATGAATGGACAGATAATAGAAGGATAGATGGTGGTGCTACTGTAAGAATGGCCAAAAAGGTCAAGAATGGATGCGAGCGAGAAAGAAAGGATGAACAGAGTTGGAGAGATGGGCTAACAAAGTCAAAATTGATAAAAGAATCAGTGAGTGATTTAGTAAAAGGAGCATGTATTGGGCATAAAATTCATCAAAAAATGACTCCACCAATTTCAACTCTAAAACTGTTTACTAAAGAAACACAAAGTGGGACATTAACGCACCTCGTCCAATCCACAAGCGAGTTCAGATCGGTAACCTTGGTCAGAGGTCCCGGCTCCCAGACTAGTCGCTCAACTATGATGGGCTGTGGCATGAGATTCTCGATCTGTGCCCCCACGTAGATGTCCGAACCCTGTTTACAGTTGGAGGAAACGAGTGCGCTAACTGGTGTGCCAAGCAAAACCATTCAAATCATAACAAAACTATGAAATATGTGTGGTTGAGACAAACACCATGTCTCGTCAAAGCAAGAGACTTGCCAGAGGCCTCATGCAAATGCACTCCATTGGTACAATAAAAGTGGCACTTGTAGACTACTAAGAACGAAATCCTCAACTTCGATTCCTTTTTGGCCATTAGTCTTGGCATGTTGGACAATTGCGAGGACACGCCTTCCCTATCACCCCTTTGGATGCGCACATCACTGAGAAAGTAATGGCACACAACTTGTGCCTCTTTGGCTAATTCCTAACAGCTATTTTAGGATTTACAACTGATTTCCCCCACTAAAGCACTATACGAGTTTAGGCAAACACAAAACAAAAGCAACGGAATTGGGAGACATGTGTGCTTATAATACCAGCAAATCATTACAGCATTGAAGGATAGTTTAAAATGAATGGAATAAATTGTGGAAATGTGCACACCATTACAGAATGAAGCAGATAAACCAGCCTAGCTGGAAGATGAGCTTAACATCACCCTTACCGAAGTTGGGAATTGCGTTGGCTTGAAGTCGAACGGTTTTCCCACCTGAAGTAAAGAATGCACTGTCAGCCGATGCAGTTGTCTGGCCAAAGCAGACTTTCAACTATGCCATGTTATATCGTCTTCGTAACCAGGAGATTGGTTAGCATCAAAGTGTCAGAATTAATGGAAGATCTAACAGCCAAATGTTTGCCTTAACACGAAAAAGGGATGCACATTCTCTTGTGAGGCAGTGGGGAATTTGTCAACACCACTGATGCACCAACGAGCTTCTTACCTAATTAGAAATTGGACTGGTTATGCTTGAGAAGGGAAGACATGATGAAATTCAATTACTGCTCATGAGGCTGCAACGTAGCTAACCTCGGTTGGGCTCAAGAGTTCTTTTAAAGACTAAGATTTCAAAAGTAGCCACTTCCAAACACGAATTTCTAAAATCCCAAATGTTTGTGCATCAACTAAGTTTACATCATGTGCTAAATGAATCACTCAAGCAGTTGATCACTCGAGTCGTTCGTGGCGAAATGACCTTCATTCTACAGGGTATTGCTGAAACCTTCAGGCATAATTAATGACTACTTGGTTTTTGCTTTGTATCTTGATCAACCAAATAAAATCACACGTTTTGCCGTTTTTGCAGGCACCAATGTTATAGATGCTTCCTCTCTAATGAAATTCTTCGAAGCCCAGTCAATGGTGGAAGGACAGCATCTGTGCAGACGCTATTGACGAGGATAGTGGGCAAATCCTTAGTTGTTAACGTAGGGTGTTAGAATCGGTGCTTCCTTCTGCATACAGGCATTGCAGGACGTTTGTCAGTAGAATGATCGAGCAACTTGGTCACGGCCATAAAACTGAGGTGGTCCCAAAGTTGATGAACGAAGGTCTTCGCTATCGTGTTAGTCCTGACATTAGCCCTCCTCCTCTTAAAAGTACGTGATTTGCATCCTTTCAGAGTTGTTGCTGATGATAACCACTACTAGGGCACTACAGACGATGTGAATAAAGAAAAGCTCTTTTGAAATAAGCTTCGAGTGGTGATGCTAAGCCGTAAGCCTAAGCTCCATGATTTGATGAAGAAGGAACAACTTTTAGGAAAGGCTGTCCAGTCAGTTGACAAAAATTCTTGTGCACGCCTCAATGAAACGTTTGCCTGGAATTTCTTTACCCTCCTTTCCATTATCATATTCACACATAACAAAGTTTTTCTCCAGATATGTCATGCATCGATTCAACCATTTCAAAGTGAGAAGCAGGCTTCTGTTGATTGTGAGAAGAGACCCCTTAACAGCCCAGTAAATTAAAAGCTTCCTTCTCTACCCTACACACAAGATTCCTTTCCAAGTCTCACATCATCGAGACACTTTTAAATTTTCAAATCATTTGGAAGATGGGGGAGTTTCTATATGAAACCTATTGAAAATTGTTTGGAAACTGTGAACCGTTTTTAGTCTTTGGCAGATTGAATATCCACATCGGGAATGTGTTCCCCATAACAGAAAGGCAAACTCACTCGATGTTGCAGTGATGTAGAAAAAATCGGGTCTACCTGAGGTATTATTGACGAAGTTTCTACTAAATCTACCTTTTACATGATCAATGTGGTATTCAACATTCAAACGCTGGAGAACGTTGCCAATTCCTATGCTGAGAGTTTGTCTGCGTAAAAGCCATTGTTAATCAGAAGTGAAGGATGAAATTGTTGCAGCTTTGTGCTTAGTCAATTGGCATCAATGTGGTGTTTGGAATCCTAAGGCTGTTTGTTTGTGGCTCACAGGTAGTTAAGCCATTTCAATGGTAACAATACACCCTTCTAGGTCAAATGTGGTGGTTCTCTATTGACTCC